TGTAATGAATGAACCACATGACTGGGTTTTTTTTTTATATCCTTGAATTTCTCAATTATCCATTACACATCAGCAATCATGTATCTTGATCCACGACCCTTTATAAAGAAAGCCATCTTAAACATCTGATATTTCTTTTTCCATATAGATTTTTAATCTGCGTTGGATGATCCTAAACATTATTTTGCTAGCTTGTGAAATTAAGGATATTGTATGATAGTTTGCACACTCCGTTAAGTCTCTCTTCTTTGGTTATGGATATGTAGACGGACCTCCGCCACTGTAGTTGTCCAGATTTGCTGACATAGTTTGTTTAGAACCTTTATTGACTCTTCCTTCAGTTCTGAGAATTGCTGTAATGTGGAGTGATAAATCTGTTCACCCTGATTGCAGAAGAGAAATTATTTGCTTGCAACATGTTAAGCATCTGCAAAAATATGAGATTTGGAGAGTGTTTCTTCTTACGTTACGATTATATTATCACTTTTAGAGTATAGACAGCTTTCAGTGTGAAGATTGTGATATAAATATTTACCAGTATTGCATCCTTCCTGTGTTGTAAACTTCCTGTTATCAGTTCATGTAAGATTTTCCAGATGAGAACTGTTTAGAAATGAGTTTAGCAAGTAGTGTTAATAATAATGGTATACTGTATTGCAGAATTGTTTTTTTTGTCAGATTCACATGTTATCGTAAATTCATGATTTATGCTAGAATGTTTAATATAGAAAAGAATTAGAGCTGTGTAGACTCTTGTTTCAATACAAACAAGATTTCTGTCCAATATTTTCTCAAGAGATAGTGTTGAATAATGACACAGACCAGATTCAGTATAATGAATAATTTAATTATGTCTTATTAAACCACTATTGGTTGCTTTTCAAAATCACCTAGTGTTTAAGAATCCTTAGATTTGGGAATGTATAGAAATTTTGATAATAAAATAAAAAGATATAAGATGTGGTTTAGAAACTAGCAAGTAGCTTCACACAAAATGCTAAACAAAATAAAATATATTACTGCAATGTATAAGGAACTAAGGATACAGAATTCCTTATGTCTATATTTTGATTTGCCAACGTCAGTAGTAATATTATATCTCTGGAGCTGGATGTTGTTTCCATTTCTAATTAGTGATTAAGTGTTTAGTTTGCTTTCTGTTACTTTATTATGAGAAGAATTCTGGGCTTCTGAAGGAGCCAACATAGATCAACTTAGATCATGAAATTAAAAGAGTTGCTTCTGAATGGTATTCCTGCCCTCCCAAAACTTAGATGTTTACTAGTAACACTATGAAAAATACATCAGGTAAAACAAACAACATTGCTGATAATATTTTCCAGAACAGTTGGCAAACACTGTTCTTTTAGCATGACCAACACACTTTGTATAAACAGTCCCAGGGCTATTCCAGTTTTGGTAGGGATTTGTTGACTGGTTTCACAAAAGTAGACCATTTAAATGTTTGTTCTGTAGGCTGAATTGTATTTTTTTTAAGTTGGAAAATAAAAAGCTGCTAGACACTATTATCCAAGTATAAATGTTTTCTCATGCTAGATGTAAATGCTGTAAATTTTAAGTACATTCTGTTTGCTTTTCCTGTTCGTATTTTCTGTTGAACTGTAAAAATTCAGAATTATATATGGGTTGTGTTATAAACTATACGTCCCATATTTACCATTAAATAGCAGATGTAGAAAAGAAGTGCACATCAGAGGCAAAATGAAATTTCTGATAAACTTTAGTGGTAGCTTGATTTAATCACAAATTTTAAATTGAATATATTCTTGCCAAAGTTTAGGAAAAGTAAAATAATTTCATGAATATACATTGTATATTGCCTGCTAAAATTAAGCATTTGAAAAGCTGTGGGATTTGCCTTTTAGTCATGCCAAGAAAGCAAACTGTACAGTTTGTAACTATATTTGTAATAAATGTGACTGAGCATTTGAATAGTACCAAAATTAAAATACTGGGATCATGGTGATCCAGTATTTAAAATCATGTAAACATTTTTCTATTTGGTCACATTTTATGTTATAATTTCAAATTAAAAAAGATTATATTTCTGAATATATTTATCAAAATGTGTATAGATCTTGGGTTATAATTGACAAAGGCTATTTGGTACCGTATGTGGAAATGAATAGCTTCCATATATCAAGCTGTTGAATCTTTCTGGATTTTAGCTACATCTCTAAAATGATAACAATCTTAAGCAAAGATGGAAAAGAGTTCTCATGATGAAACCAACATATTATTAAGCTTCTAAATTTAGACTCCTGACATTTTGGGGACTGATGGAACATTAGGAATATTAAAAATATGTTAAGCATTACTACAAAAATATCTACTATGGTATGTCCTACCATTCACTCTAACTTCCTGATACTTTAGGTACTATTTCTGTGTAGCTTTATATTTTTTTATTATTAAATTTTCAAAGAAACCAATGGGGTGCAGCTACTCTCTGTGTGCTCTCTAGCCAATTTGATACTGATCTTCTGAACCGATTAAATTTTTCCTCTTCTTCCAAAGAAAAGGCAGGAGGTCAGGAGGCTTGAAATGAGTATTGTAAAAAGTCCACAATTTTCCAGCAGGTTTATTAATTCTACGTATAAATCAGCAAGCCCAGAGGCATGTAATTACAGTATGTGGATGAGTTCACAAACTAAATTTTTAAATCGTTGTCCAGGAGTTCTTTCAGCTTCACACATTTGCAGATAAACCCCAGGAAGAAGACTTAACAGTAAAAATATGAATGTGTGAAGCAGATGTCTATAGAAGCTACATTTATTTGACTAAAATGGATTTGATCTTTCACTTAAATTCCTGAAATTTTGCAGCATTTTCCTCTCTCCTTTCATTGTTGCTACTCAGTTGTGTGGCTGGTTTCAACTCTATGACTCAATGGATAACATTTTACCAAGGTTTTTTTCCCCCTGAATAATTGTGACAATGTACAATCTTGGCTCATTCCTTTCCCTGTTTTGAACCACTTCATTGCTCTATAGTCCACTCTAACTATTCTTTGCCATCATAAAAAATCTTCAACAAGTAGATAAAATGGTATGGTATATATGTTTTTAAAGGTTGTACAAGTTTATTACACATTTGCTTCCTTTGCAGAGATAACACACTGCTGGGTTGTAAGTTTTCAGTAGTTTAAGATTCTAAGATGTTTTTCAAAACTACGAGTATCAAACCTGTTGTCCCTCATCTGATACTTTTATATTTCTAAAGTAAAGAACTTTGCAATAGTTGCTGTAAAGATGTTGCTATTACTTTCAATTCGTTTCTTCATTTTGGTTTCTGAGAAAGAATGTGTACTTTTAACACATAGTGCAATGTTAGGTTCTTTTCCATTGGTCCTTTTGGACAGATGTTATCCTTTAATTACTGTATTCCTTTCATGGGAGTCATCCCACCAGATTTCCATTAAAACATTTGCACTGAGAGATGAAGTTCAGCTTGTTTTCTTGCTTCCCATATTTTGAACATTGCTGTTTGGACAGTGAAGTTTATGTATTTTATGAGCCAGCATTCTTTCTGATTGCTCTTGAGTGGTTTAATAGGCTCCATTTAGCAACATTTCCATTTTCTGTAGTGCATAATTCTAAGGTCCTAAATTCAGAGTTTTTGTTCTATCTCAACAGGATTCAATAAAAACCCTCCTAATTAGTTTTGCTTTGTCTAAAGTACATGTTGGCTATTCTTTGTGAGGTGAAGCCCATTGTATATGAGCAAACTATCATTTTGTTCCTCAGGCAATGGTTCTAGGATCCAAATCTCTCCAGCTGCCACATTTTGCATAACTACCCTGTTTCCCTGAAAATAAGACCTCCTCGGATAATAAACCCAATCGGGCTTTTTAGCTCATGTGCTAAAATAAGCCCTCTCTCCAAAATAAGCCCTCCTCGAAAATATTGCAACACAGCAGCATCCATGAAGTGACCATGCTCGTCGCCTCCTGCACCTCAAAAATAATAAGATCTCCTCGAAAATAGGGCCAAGCGCTTATTTCGGGGGTAAAAAAAAAAAAAGACCCTATCTTATTTTTGGGAAAACACGATAGTCTTTAATTTGCATCCTTTCTTTCTTTCTTTCTTTCTTCCTTCCTTCCTTCCTTCCTTCCTTCCTTCCTTCCTTCCTTCCTTCCTCCCTCCCTCCCTCCCTCCCTCCCTCCCTCCCTTCCTCTGGAATAGTAACTGGTGATAATACCATCTAAACCCCCAGAGTTTCAGCTTTCTTCCAAGATTTTACATATCTGTGATAATATGTTTATAGTTGTTATTTACAGAGCCAGTTTCATCTGTAGGGCTCTGAAAACTTCTTAAAATCTTGCTGTGCAGAATATCTTTTATATTTCTAGCTTCTAGTCCATAACTCTTACCCGCTGCATTGGCTCCTCTGTGTCTTCCTTCTAGAGAATTGCTTTCACAGTCCATTTCTCTGGTTGAGAAATTGCTTTCACTGTCCATTTCTCTTGTTGAGCCTTTTTTCCTTGAACTGACAAATCTTTGCCTTTCTCATCAAATCTGGTTGCTCTCTGCTGGACTCCCCCCGCCCACAAGCACTTGCAAGCTCACATTTGCTGAAAGTATACCTGGGATTGTTTTTAGAAAGGAAGAAAAACATGCTACAAGTAATGCAGTTCATAATTGTACATTATGTTAATTGGTCCTCACTTTGTCTTTTTAGAGCACCACAAATGGGAAGATTTGTGTTTCTTTCCTTTCCCTTCTCTTTCTGTTACATTAGCCAGCTATATTCCTGACTTAAAAAGAAAAATTTTTACGGACTCACCTGATGGATAAGTAAATTCCTGTTAGGTTCCCCTATTTTCTTGCTTATTATTGTAAGTATAAAAGTAAACTTATTCTTTGGACTAGTCTGTATCAGATGTTTATTTGTAAATTATGATACCTTTAACTTTTTGTTCAAAAATAATGGAGAAACATATGGTAAACTTAAATGTTCTTTTTCTTTCTTTCTTGTAGGGCACAAAAATTGAGCAATGAATAAATTACGACAGAGCTTCAGGAGAAAGAAAGATGTCTACGTTCCTGAAGCCAGTAGACCACATCAATGGCAGACGGATGAAGAAGGGGTTCGAACTGGGAAATGCAGCTTCCCAGTTAAGGTAAATTAAGGTTCTCCATTCTTTTTGGGCTAGTAAACACATTTGGATTTTTGAGAAAATGTCCGCATGGAAATATGTAGAAACACACGCAAACATGAAACCCCTTTCCCATATTTGTTTTTTTCCTTCCATCTTGTTTGATGTCTGCTGTCACCCCCAGTTTCCTAGAGCAGCTGTTGCTTTTTCTTTTATGAATTGAAAAAACAGCAGAAAGTAAACTGTGGGCTAAAGAGAGGAGACAAATGAGGAACAAATTTGTGAAGGTGTCTGTATTTATGTGTGCAAGAGTAAGTGTGAATATATACGAACAATACATAAGAAGTAAATAAGTGGGTGTGAGAATAGGGGGACCAAGAAGGAGAATTTCGTGTTTTTATGTGACTGTTTAAAGACATACCTCTGCCGCCTTCTTTCATTTCTAAGAATGTTTTGGATTCATACTTAGCTCTAGAGATTGTGCTGCTTTTCAAAAATCATTTATGTTCCTTTTTTAAAATAAAAAATAAGAAGATTGAGGATTTGCCAGGCACTGGGAATGTTCTGGCCCTGAGTTGCTATGTTGGAAGTGAATATATATATAGATGAGGTTTATACATTGTATTAAGCCCCAATTTAATTAATCATGGTTTATTGGATGTAAAGCACAGCTGCCTAGGTTTGCACAATTCCATGGTGTAAACCACAATTTAAAAATCATGATGGTTGCTTCCATAACATGTTTAAGGAAAACACAAATCAAATTATAGCTTAAAGCAGGAGTTCTTAGACTGTAAGTCATGACCCTCTCCCAGTAAATATAAGGTGGATCATGGATTCCTGGGTACCTGGAAAGGTTGAAAGCTGGGTGGAAGCTGTGAAGGAAGCTGCAGCACCTGGTTATGGCAGGAAGAAGGGAATCAGTGTCTTATGTGATACATAGCTGAGGAAAAGGAGAAGTACAATCTGGTTGCCATTTGCCTTGGAAGAAAATTAACACTCTGACTGGAATCTTCTGACAAGAAATCATCTGGATGAGAGTTGGCATGTTTTGTGGATTTAGCCAAAGTGCAAAATTGGTGATTCCAAACTTTGGTAGTTGGAAGGGTTGAAAAACAGGCAGGAAATAGAGCATCTGCGGAAGCTACTATGATAAAGAAAACATACTTCCAAGACCCCACCAGGTGATATTGTTTTACTGAGAGGACCTGGAGAGCATGCCCAGTCTGCCATATTCAGTATGAATATTGAAGGTAACATGCCACATACTATGTAGGGCTTTAAAGGTGACATCTGACATTTTGAATTATACCCAGAAAGCTGCTCAGAAGCTGGTGCAGCTCTCACACGGCAGTGGTATTACATGGGCATATCAAGAGGTCTCCACTGCTAACTCTACTGCTGCATTCTGGACTAGCTGTGGATTCCAAATGATCTTCAAGGGCAGCCCTGTGTAGAATGCATTACAATAGCCCTATTGGAAGGTAACTTAGGAATGAGGAACTTTGAACAGTGCACCTCAAAGTAGGAAAAGGCTCAACTTGTGCACAAAATGTATTTGTGTAAAAGCTTTCCTGACTATGGATGCTACCTGCTTTTAGAGCTGAGCCATGAGTAGAATAGAATCTCTAGATTGTGCACCAGCTGACTGATGAATTATCAGTCCAATCAGATGGAGGCCACTAGATACGGGAGACCCTAAAACTCACAGCCTCTCAGATTTCTCAGGGTTGAGCTGAAGCCAAGTTATTTAACCTAGACCAATGTAGCCTTCAGGCACTAGGAAAGCACCTCAGTGACATCACTTGGGCACCCTGGGGCAGAGATATACAGCCAAGTATTATCAATATACAGATGGTACTTTAGCCTGTGCAAATGAATCATCACATCCAACATTTTTATTAGATGTGGGAAGAAAGTTGAGCCCTGATTCATCCCATAAAGTAGGGGTCTACACTAGATCTCTCCCCTACCTACCAACACTGACTGGAATGGCCTTGGATGAAGAACCATTGAAAAATTTCCTTCCACTCCAAGTTCCATCAGCTGGCTACCATGATTAATGGTATTAAAACCTGCTGATGGATCAAATAGGGCCAAGATGGAAGTGTACCACTCTCATCCTGGGCCTGTAAAAGCTCATCCACAACTGTGATGAATGCCACCTTGATATTGTGTCCCAATCTGAAGCCTGACCAGTGAATCCAAATTATCAATTTGAAGAAGCTGTAGCCTACCACCTTCTCAACAATATTCTTCAAGAAGAGAAAATTGGACACAGGATGAAAATTGTCCAGCACTGCTGTGTCCAGTGATGAACTGTAGAGAAGGAGACAGAACACTGTCTCCTTCAAAGCAGGTGCCACTGTTCCTTCTTCCAAAGAAGCATTCTGGATGCAGAATGAATTATCATACTGGTAAGCTTATTTTGTAAGCCTATTAATTGAAACACTGTTAACCTTCTGCCATGTTCAGAGGGTACTTTAATAAAAATGTTCCTATCTATTAAATAAATGTTCTCCAGATTGCTAGGATTATAAAAGCTTCTGCATTTCTTTCATGTTAGTCAGAAATATATAGTTTTACATAAAAAGTTAATTATAGAAAATTGCTAACAAAGGCAGAAAGTGTGATTCACACTAAAGAGTGACAAAAATATATATACTTATTCTGTTTTCCACAGGGAGTCCATCTTCTCTGTGAGTAAACTCTTCATATGCCTAGTGTCTTGAAATAATTTCTGATAAACAGAAGTAAGCTTTACATTATGTTTCTAACCCTGTTTTGTTTTTTGTTTCTGTGGCATTTTGATTTCTTCAGATGGGAGGAAGGAACAAATGGTTGCATGAAAGGAAGCAATTTTAAAAGGATGCGAAGGGAGAGTACATTTCATAACAACCTAAAACAAGCTGGGCTGATAGAAACCAGGTTTTATAGTCACCAACCTCCTTCCCATAGCCCACTACTGGTCTGTGGCGTGCATGTGCACATCTCCACTTGCACAAGCACAGGGTGAGTGTGTGCTCATGCACATGAAGCTGCGCTCATGTGTGTATGCTTGCTGGCCACTCACATGTAACCATCCACTCCCCCCCCCCTCACCAGGCTACAAAGCTGGAACTCTTGGTGAACTCTGTGCTAGGGGACATTTTAGTAATACTCTGATCCTAAATTAAGCAAAAGCGCAGGAGTTTTAAAAATACTTCATATCTTTTACTGGATTTAGGAATTATATATATATTATATATATATAATTATATATATATATACTCTGCATTTGCACATAACGCCAAACCAGGCTTTCTTGTAACTGTGGTTTCTGGAACTGTTCCGACCTAGGCTTCCTGAGACAGTAAAAATGACATGCTGAGTCCCCAAAACCCTTGTTTTATTTCAACGGCTGTGAATTATGTTCATTCACAGCCCTTAATGAGTCACAAATAGTTTGTAAAGAGTCCGACAGAAGTCTGCTACAGTCTTTCGAGATAAGGCTGATAAGCACCCACCTTTATCTCCCTTGAAATGCTGCCAAAAACCTACTTGCCAATTAGCTTTGTAAGGCCAAACGGAGCCCAGAGTCAAAATGGAACTTCAAAGGTTAAACTGACCAGAACGAACAAAGTTGCTTCCTGAAAAGGCTCATATACCTTTACTCCTCCTTTATGTCTTATGGGAGGGGCCAATCATCTCCAAGCCTTACTCCCGAGTTGCCCCTTTTGTTTTAACTGGTCTTGCCTTCTGGCAGCTCTGCATGCGTGCACTGGGAACAGGTGCCCCCTGTTTCTCTGCCTCGCTGATGTGCAACTCTGGAGGCTCCGGAGGCAGCACATAATTCCCAGATGGCCTGACCCCTTCTCTGCCCCTAATGCAGAGCCCTCAACCGAGCCTTCCCCAGACTCCAGGACTGGCCCATGTTCCTCCCCAACCTCCTCATTGTCTGACTTTACTGCCAGTTCTGCAGGCCGCCAACGGACCACAACAGGAACAAGCAAGAGTCAGTCTTGCAGGCAGACAAAATAGTCATGGATTGTTTTCTAAGTCCTGCTAAATTTCCACTGTTGCTTTTATTGTAATCTAGGTAGCACCTCTGTTGTGCGAGTTGGTTTAACCTTTAAAGCCTTTTATGGCATAGGACTTGCTCTTCCTAAAAACATCTGCCTATCATATGAGATTGGATAGGGCGGGCACTTTCCTAGATCCTTCCTTTGAATGTTGCCATTTTATGGGACCTAGGAAGCTTGCCTTTTCTGTGGCAGCCCCATCTCCCTGAAATTCGTCAGCCTCCCCCCCCCCCACACTTTTAACATTCTGAAAAGCACTTAAGGCTTGACTTTTTCCTCAAGCACTGGGTTAATGTGAGCTTCGTGAAATTACCTGTTGTGGGCTTCATGGGAAAGTTTAGCTATGGTGCCATGTTTTTGGTTTTAATATTTTTATTGTACATGGATATCTCTTATCTCTTGATTGTGAGCCATCCAAGTTGGTACAACATGGTGGTCCTGTTTGATTATAAATTACTTTCCAGTATTTGTGTTTGTGGGTTTCTTTTAATGACAGATTCATTCACCTATCTGCATCTCCTTTTGTAAGAGTATTATATATTTGTACTTTCCTAAGTGCTTTTTTTTTCATTTCTGTGAAATGAATAAGGCAAATATGGGTTTTAATATTTGGGGATAAGAAAGTGCAGCTTAAAAAGAGTTCTCTTTTGGCTGCTATTGGATTACATGACTATAGACAGGCAAGGGCAGAGACAATCGTAATTCAGGTTCCTGCACTGAAATACAGCAATGCATGGTTAAAACTAGGATGTATAAGCCATGGTTTAACATTGGGGCATTTTCTCAGAGAAACTATGATACTTCATCTGAGACAGATCACATTAAAATGAAATTACCAGCTCACCATTTGATACAAATCTGATTAAGGTATAAACTAAATGTTGTAAATAAATATGTATATTCTCCCAATGTTTGGAATGGTTTCTTTTGTGAAACCACAAAACATTTTATGAAGATGAATTT